TCTCGAGAACCTGGCGAACAGTTGGAGGCCCCCCTTTGTATCGTTTCCATCCGCCTGAAGCTATTCCGTAAGCGAAAACGAAGTGTCGTTAAGTTGACCGGGAGTCCCTTGCCCTTGGTACGGTGCCAAAGCGTCGCGTTAATCTCGTTCTTACGAGGTGGAGAGGGGGCTCCCCTACCCTGGGAACGGTTCCTGCGGGAACAACCGTTCCAGACGAGCGTAACCGAGGTGAAAAGCGCCAGTTTTATCGCGCACCTCGACGAGTATTTTCGTCGCGTCTAGACCGACTGCCTTTCCTTCCTTCTCCTACGCGTCTCTTGATGCTTGCTTAGGCGCCAACCTATGGATGCCATATTACGCTTCGAGATCCGTTTTCTCATCCTCCACTTACTTGACTTAATACTTAAAAAGAAATAATAAATGCTTGATATTGATTTGGACAACTTGAATATGTAAATTTTAATTTGTGGATTGCAGATATTTCTTCTGATCGTCCATTTTGTGCGCAGCTATCGACCTCTAGCGTCATTCTCGAGTACTAAAAAAAAGTAATCTTGCTCCATGTTGGAAAAACTCATTTCGAAACTTTCTTTACATTTCTTTCTTGACGAGGCAGATTATTCTCGATTGTGTTATGCACGAAAATTGTAGCAGGCAATTGAGATTCGATTCAATTATCATTGCTAATACTACAGTTGATGGTATACTTTTTATATATGATACTAGAACGAGATAACACGCAATTTTCTTAACAACAGTAATAATAAGTCTCGTTTCTGTACACCGACTTTTGTTTCGAGTTTCAAATCTGTCCCACGCGAACGTCTTATACGTCTTGCGCGCGTATAAGAAAGGAGAGAGCGATCAAGAAAGCAACAAGGAGTGTTAAGTCAAGGAGTGTTCCTCCTCTTTTCCGGTACAACTTTCCTCGTTACTCGCCGGAATTCCTCGAGTACACACTCTCTGTGGTCGTGCTCGTCATTTGCGGTTTGACGAGAACTCTGAGGAGAAGAAAACTTCTGGTTACATCCGCGAGCCAACGAGACGGGAGAGGAACGGTTGTGAAAAGTAATGGTAACAACGAGGCGAAATGGAATATATAGGCGAAAAGAGATATCCTCGCCTATACCATATCTCTCTCTCTCTCTCTCTCCTTTTTCCTCATTCGCCTTCTAGTTTACTTTAGTTTTATTTAGTTTCTCTTCTTAGTAGAGTAGGACGATCGATCGAAAGAGATTCTTGCGGTTGTATCATCCATGTCCTTGTTCCATCCTGGCTCCCATTTGCCGCTTTAAAGTCGCTGTCGTCTTCTCGTCTCCCCTCCTCCTTATTTTTCCTCTTCGTAATAGAGGGAGAGAGAGAGAAAGTATCAACAGATGTCTTCATTGCTCTCTCTCTCTCTCTTTCTCTTCTTTCTTCTCCTTCTCCTCTGTCGTCGATGATAATCCCGTGATGAGCGGATGTACCGTGTTGTAACGTCTACGTTACACAGTTTTCTTTCTCCCTTTTTATGGCCTCTTGTTTTTCTTGTTTTTTTTTCTCTTTCTTTCTTTTTACTCTTTCTCCGTGTTTTGTTTTCGTTCGAGGTTATAGGTTGGAAGGAGGAGGAAACGGTTGAAGAAAGTTGGAAGGTGACGATGGTGCAAAAACGAGATGAACAGCTGGTGAAGATAAATTTGAACGAAGGGAAGAGCACAGTAGTTACGACGCGTATATATTAACAGGGATTCAGATTTTGTTGCCAACAGATGAACCAATATTATTAAGAGAATTTTATAAGCCTCTTAAATCACACGAAGAAGAATCGAAATTACTTTTTTTCGATCGAACATCATTTAATAGGAAATCCATGGATAAAACGTATTTCAACAAACGTGTTTCTGGGTTGTCGAAAAAGAACTGCACGCTGTTCTATTGCAATGAGACCAATGAAATTTTCCTAATTAAACGTTACATCAAAATGTTGCCTGGCTTTATTAATTTCTTTCTTACTAATTAAATTCGAGGCAACTATTTCGAAATATATTCTCGTTTTATCCGACGATTAACGAAGAGGAGAACGAGAAGATCAAAGCTAAGGATAGGTAAAAAAAAAAAGAAGAGGAAAATAGGAGGGGGAGAGGTTCGAATGGGCGATATTAGCCAATGGGCGCGAACCAAAAACTTTCTCGTCGACTTTTTCCCTTTTACAATCCGGGACACGAATATAAATCTCCTCGCCAGCTGACGAGGGGAGGGCAAAGATGAAATAAGAAACGTGCTAACAAGGAAAGTTGGGATGGCCGATATCGGCCTGATATTGAGGCAAGAACTTGAAAACAATTCTCGGACGGGGTTGTGACGCGCGGGGAAAAAACTTGGCTAATATTTCCTGGCCCGGAAATAAACTTTGCTCCTTTGGCCTATATACCATCCACGAGATGATTAGATCTTCGAGCAAATTTAAATGATACGTGATTCTTCAACGTGAAATTCTTGTGAATAAATTGCAACGATCACAGCTGAGCACAATTCTACTTTTATTTATTAAGTATCCTCTGTGACAGGATTATTGACGATTTCATTGGTTCACGTTGTTTCTTATTTATTATTTCGTATTCGAAATTGAAGGATTGTATGTGACTTTTAACACAAGGGATTTCTCAAAGAGATCGAAAAGTATTTTCTGTATGGATTATAAGTTATTTTTTTAAGCAAAGAAAAGAAATCGATAAGAATAAATTAAATTCAATTTTGATTGGACAAATACGAGAATGTAAGAGTTTATTTTCGCGGATGTTGAAATAACAATGAAAAAGCGATCAAAGCGTTCAAAAGACTTGACCCCATGATATTCTCTTCTCGAGAGAGCATCGTTATAAAGATTAAACCGTCATTATTTCTGCAAAAGCAGAGGGGAAGGAAAAATCCTCCCCTCGAGGAAAAAAAGAAAAAAAAAAAAAACACGAAATCGACACGAAAAACACGGGGCAGAGAAATATCGAAAAGAAAAACGATTTCCGCGGGAAAATAGAAAAACGATTGAAATCCGTACGAGCGTTGGGAAACGATTTCCCTCCTCCCCGCTGTTCCACAGAATCACGCATTATGGAACGCTTTACACGGGAAATGCGGTTACACGAAATCTTATTACACGACAGACGCAGCGACACAGACGCTAAAACGTTGCTCGAAATTGCGAGGTAGCCCTCAGGATCGATTGATTTCTTTTTTTTTTCGCATTACGTAACGATGGACGAAAAATTTTCGAAAATATCCTTAACCAGAGTGGGGGGAGGGGAAACTTCGTTTTCAACTTCGATCCAGAGCTTTTTTTTTTTCTTTTGCGCCCCCTTTCTTTTCTTGCGTGCGCTACTAGCGATGGGAGTGAACAGATCGTAAGTACACTTTTGAACATGGACGAGATTCTGATTTTTTTTCGAAAGTAGGTGTGTTTAAGTAAGAAAATAAGGGAGTGAAATAATAAGAAATATATATAAGAGTAGTGAGTTTGTTACTCTCCATTTGTTTGAAAATCGATATTTGTTGATTGTTGATTGCTGTAATTAATGTAATAGTAAATTAGGAGATGATTAAACATCTATCTATCTGGATTGAATTGATTATTTGAAAAGAAAGAATTTGTTAAGTGGATTAAATCTTGTAAAATTTCGATGAAATGTCAATTTTTCCAAGTCTGATTATTTCATTATAAAAACTATTTATAAAAACATTGAATATATTTTTAATATATCAAAGGATTCATAGATAGATTTTTTATATTTGTAAATAAGCTGTATCAATATACTTAGCAAGTATTAGAACGAAGCATTATTATAAGCCATGTAGGTAGAAAGTAAATCAATCAATTCCATTTTTTGAATTTGAAAATTTTTGAATTTACTAAAATATACAGAATATATGAAACTTATATACATCTTTAAAAGTCAATTGTAGAAATCAAAATAAAATAAATTTATTAAATTATGAACTAATTGAAATCTGTGATAGATAAAGTGTATTATATTATATCATAAATTTATCTCTAAAATTTTCAAAAATGTTCCATAAATATATTAATTCTTTGTATAATCAATTTCATTTCTGAAGATTTGTGAATTTTATATATGATTAAATATAAACTTTTCAAAAATTAAAGGATTAAGCTTAATGAATTCTCTAATGCCAAAATATAACAATATATAATTATTTAACTGTCTGAAAATTTCCAAATTTCAATACCAAATATATACATAGACATTTAACTTTTTGGAAGAAATGATTAATCTTAATCTTTCTAAAAACTTTCGAATTTCTGATGCTAAAACATACAATTACTATTCAACTTTTTACCAAGTAAAATTGGATAGAATAAAAACTTGCAAATTTCAAAATATACAGATATTTTTCAAAGACTAAATGATTCGTCTAATAATTTCTTGTCTAAGTTTAAAATAGTGAATGAAACGAGTGTTTTGGACTTTGGATTCAATTGAAAACTTCCAAATTTCAAAATGTATAGATATTTTCCAAAAACCAAATGACTTATTAACTGTCTTATAATTGTTTAAGTTTAAAATACCAAATAAAACGAGTCTTTTGGACTTGGGATCCATAGATATTTTTCAAAAACTAAAATGATTTGTCCAATAATTTCTTGTCCAAGTTTAAAATATGAAACGAGTGTTTTGGACTTTGAATTCAATTCAAAAATTCCAAATTTCAAAATACATAGATATTTTTCAAAAACCAAATGATTTCTCTAATAATTTCTTGTCCAAGTTTAAAAATACTGTAAATGAAACTGTAGCGTTTTTGGACTTTGGATTCAGATTCCCAAGCACAAATTGATCCCATCACTATGTGTAACCTTCGTTACCACCACCTATCTCGGCCGAGAGCCACTCGCGTGTTTCGCTCCCAGCGCCGAAAACTCATTTCCACCCTTCTCTCTGTCCTCGCCCTGCTTTTTCGTTCAAGTGCGTTCAAAGTATCGATTTATTGTTTGTTCCTGGTTGTAGGTCCTCCCGGTGAGCCTGGAAAACGAGGGAAAAAAGGGAAAAAGGGCGACCCTGGGGAACCAGGCCCGCAGGTGAGTAGATCCGTTCCTCCGTTTCGTTACCACCCCTTTGCTCCCTCGATCCTGTAGTGCACCCCGTCGTGCTGGCACGTGCGTGTTCTTTTTTTTTTTTGTTTTTTTTTTTCATAGTGTAGCTCGATGCATGGTGTGTAGTTTTGCTAACGATACGTACATGGTAGAATTCGTATTTAACCGTCGGTAAGCACAGGGTATGCACCTAGGTATACCTCTTATCGAATCAAGTCTGACAAAGGCGATTTAACTCAACGAAAATTGGGCGCGATCACTTTTCAAATCTTTCTACTAATTTATAAGAATCTCACAGTACAAAAGGCTCATCATTGTCTGTTTCAACAAACAATCAGTTATATATTTAACTTCTTTGGAAACGGGAATAATTAATTATTTCTATCTACAGCGTATGCCCTTATATATATTTTCACGAAAATAATACGTTTCACGATTTTCTTCTCGTTTTTTTTTCCTTCATCCCGCATATCTCAATACTTTAAAAGTATCGTAATCTCTTCAAAAGAAAAAAAAGAACCGAAACTTTTCATTAACGAATAACAATCGAGGCTTTTGTTTTTCCGACAAACACGGGTCGAAACGAAATCTCTGACAAAAAGTGTCGCTTTTCATCGGTGCGTGGATGAAGTTTATTGATCGTGGAACGAAAAGACCGGTCTGGCAAGCGTGTCATCCGGAGGGATGAGAAGAGACAGATTTGACCCTGTGATCTAGCCAAGTTTCGATAACTGAGGTGCGTACCCGTGCGTGCGTGTGTGTGTGTGTGTGTGTGTAACCGCCACTTGAGATGATATCTAATTGGTTGGAATAATTATCGGGTGTAGCTGTATTTGTAGCGGATCTTTAACATCACGTGAGAAATTATGGTCACGTGGCACGCGACGAGCCGAGTCGGCCGCGACGAGAAAATTTGCTTTTGCATGGACCGCGAGAACACTTTTTTTAACCCTTGCCCCCTTATGAACGAGTTTTTAATTTTTTATACCCCTTCTTACAGGGTGTGGCCGGGACGCCGGGCAAGAACGGTTTTCCGGTATATTATTTTTTATTTTCTTTCCATTCTCTTCTGTCACTTTATTATTATTATTATTATTATTATTATCTGTCTGCTTTTATTTCCTTCGTTTTATCTCTCTCTCTCACACATCGCTCTCACATGTCATGTTATTTTCACGCGTGCACGTAAATTACGGCTAAATCGTGTTTTTTCTTTTTTTTTTGTTAATTAACAATATATATATATATTAATGTGTCAAGATATTTATTAACAAGGATATGATCCAGTGTTTGCGATGAATATTCGAATATTTGAAATTGGACGATGTTGTTGTGACAAATAAGAAAGAATTTGAGAGTCGTTATATATCGATATATTGATATCGATATAAATTTAAAAAAATAAAGAGCGAGAAGGAATATTCGAATATTGATTGTAATGTCGAAAGTATGACATTTTTTTCGTCTCTCTTTCAATAGTGTGTCTTTTTTTTTTTTATTCTCGTTCCCCTTTTATTTTTTTCGATGTTTCTCTTTTTCCACACGCCCCACTTTGTCACATTGTATTTCCTTCTTCGTTCGTACAATTTGCGCTTTTTTTTTTTCCCCTCCCCCTGGATTTTTTGGCAATATCCTTTTTTTTACTACTTTCCTCCACAGCGTCAGATTTATGCCTATATGTGTATATGTGTATATATATATATATATGTATATACATATATCGATTGCCAAATCGAAGCTCGACATATGCTTTCAAATATGATGTTTCGTTGTGTAAAACACAACGTCGAACGAATGGTAAAAATTTTGCGTGGACAAAGAAGGAGGGGAAAGATTGGGAAAAATGGTGATTAGTTTTGAAACAAATTTAAAAAAAAGAAAAAAGTGACAATCGATGTGGATCGATGGACACGAAATGGGATTTTGTAAAGAGGGAAATGAAGAGTGGTTCGAAAAAAAAATACTATTGCTCGTATTTCTATAACAAATGTATACTATAATTAATAATAAATCATATATAATCAGATAATACATTTTGCATAAACGTTCTACTTTATAATTTATGATTTACTTTCCAAAGTGATTCTTTTAAAAAATCAGACACACAATTTTTGATACAACACACGTGTATTTTTCGAGTGGAAATCTATTATGGAAAGAAATTTGAAAGAAAAATATTTTCGCGCACTTTAATCGTTCTTTTATATCACTCCTTTCGTAAACGTCATATCTGAAAGCATTTCGATATCGCTAGAATATCAATATCATCATATTATCGCAAGGAATGATTTTATTTTATTTTATTTTATTTATTTTTATTTTTCAAAGGCTGCTCGCCACGGCCTTTTTGATTTTTTTTTTTTTTCTACACCTTCCTCTTCCCCCCTTTTTTCTATTATTCGAACTTACCAGCGTGTTCTTTCAGGGACCTATTGGGTTAGATGGACCAAAAGGTGAGCCGGTAAGTGCACGCACAAACCTACCTATTTTTTAATATAATTAAAAATTTTCCGAAAAATTATTTCTATAAATTTCCATAAAGATAGAGATATGATTTTACAAAATATTATTGCGTATTATCGCGTTTAAATGATTGAAATTAATTAATTAATCGATCGATGTTAAAATCAATATTGAAATCTGATCAATGGTAAACAATCAAAATCTGTAATTATTATTTTATCGTTATATTAATATTAGTTAGATAAACGTTTGTAAATAATTATACCATTTAATTAATAATAAAGCTTCTTGTATCAACTATCAAACGATCAAAAAATATGTACACTTTTATCAATCGCATAAGATGCGAATAATGCATATATACAGTGGATGAACACGAAGAGAATTACAGTGTCCAAATATTAAGAGTTATTTCGCCGTTATACATCATCTTCGAATATCCTCTACAATTACAGTGGGTAATATTATATCCCTGTGGAAAGTGGAGTGTTATCGCTGGTTAAACTAAGAGATGTTAATGGCCAATAATTGGTGGGAAGAGTAACGCGTTAATCATACATTGTAACAGAATATAATTGCGGATTGAATCGCATTGTTTATCGTTCGATATGGATCTGATAGGCTGATAGATGCACCTATTTCAAATTTTCTAAAAAACAATGTTTAAAACAATAACAATTTTTAGAAATTTCGAGGAAAAAGTGTATCGTTATTAAGGAATGGAAAAAATAGAATGAGTATATTTCTGGTTTGGTGGGTTTCTTTTGGTGAACAGAAATAGAGCTAGATGGTAATGCGTGCAACTTCAATTGCTTATCTGTGTGTCAACATCTAATATAAGTAATATAACAAAAGAAAGATTAAAGATTCAGGTAAAGGGGAAAATTTAAATGTTGTTGGCTGGTTGCAGATGTTTATGCATTTGTGGAAAATTGTATGCAAAAATGTATAAAGCATCTAAAGTAAATTACATGTTAATAATATATTTCAAATGGTGGAATGAGCCCTGTTTTACTTATTTACTTTCCAACTTAATTTATTGCATTCACACGTGAAAATATTAATGTTTGAATAATGTATTTAAGCATTTTAAACATTTTAATTTTTGATAATACAACCATGCGATCGAAAGTTACATATCCATTTTTGTACCTCATAAACAAATCTTCAACCATTTTCAATCTCTACTGTCGTTGAATTAAATATTGTTCAAATATCACGTGATAATTAAATGCAAGAAAAACAAGGAACGATGTCATTCGTTTAACATTACAGATACATGTTAAATTGATCGGAACGAGAATTAAAAAAAAAAAAATAAAAAAACAAATACAGAAGAAAAATTTACTCGTAAGTAAATTTATTCGCGAATACATTAATATGGATGAGACAGAATAAATACCAATAATTTACGAATCAAGATAATATTACTTCTACTTCTTTTCCTTTCCGTAGAGATAAAATTTCAAAATATATACCCAACCAATCCTAAACAATTAAATTTTAAATTTTTGAATTTTGCAACCAATCCTATCGTGCAAAAATTCGCCGCTTAAAGGGGTTCGAAAAGCGGAGAGAAAGAAATTCCGCGGGAACTGGTCCTCGGAACGGAGATAAAAGGTCACGTATCGGGAATACAAATACACCGGGGTATATAACATCGTTGTTTCTTCAAACGCGAGGTTCGTACGTGACGCGCATGCGCGAACGCCGAATTCCGCTTTAATTGTAAATACTTCCGAAGGTCTCTGATTCGGTAGGGAAACGTTACGGGAATCACGTGTTACACGGAGAGTCGAGGTGTGCGTGTGTGTGCGCGCGCTAGCCAAAGCGTGCACGGATGGGACAGAAGAGAGAAAAAGGAAGAGAGGGACACGAGTGCATTGCAAATATCACGCGATATTTGTTCTGTCTTGATGGTGGTGCGGTCTGGTTTGAAAGAATTTCGATCGAGCTGCTCTTCCACCTTTACGTTTGCTGTTCGTGTAACCTCGTGTATACGTACGTATGCGCGTGTGTGTGGCTACGAAGATAGTGGCCAGTCGATGGTCGATATACTGGACGAGGCGTCAAAAACTCGGGGATTGAAAAGTTTTCTTAACCCTGTTCGACGCTTAAACTCTCTTTCCAATATCGGGTGGGCTTTATTGTATTTTTTTTTTTTTTCCCCTCTCTTTTAGCGACGTATAAACGTAATTTGCGAAATGGAATTTCGTCCCGTCGAATCTCAGAATTTTTCTTTCTCAACGTTGGATCGACGTTAGATGTTAAGTTGACGCGGTTTCGCCGCGAATGTGTAATATTTGAGAGCGAAACGGGAGTTGTGAACACTGACGAAGTGGTCGTGGAGTAAGTTGTTGGAGTTGACTCGTCTCTTAAAAAAACCTAACGAATGATCATAATCATTATTTTCTATATATTTTCATTCTGTTAACGCGATTGGCTTGAGAATAGTAGAATGATAGATATAATTAATCTTAATCCAATTTAACATAATTCTCATTCGTTTTCATTTTCGAAGAACAAGGAAAGACGCGTGTATAATCGCGCCAGGTCTTAGACAGTCGATCGATTCTTTCAAATGTGGAATACGAAGCAATTGTTTGAAGAAACCATAAAATATTGGGTTAATATTATTAGAAGTTTCCATTGCTAGCAACGCCTGGAAACTTAACTTTTGCAATCTTAATATTCGAAATATATTTTCAGAGCAGATGAAATGAAACAAACGAGAGAAATGGTGTCTTTAAATATTTCTAACTGTTCAAATCCGAATTTAATGATTAAGAAATTTCATATTTTACTTATTAGTTTCATTGATTTCATAACTTTTCGTCCGAATAATTTTAGATAAAGAAATTTGAAATTTGTAGTATTAGAAATATTGATAATTGATAATATAACGAAGAAATAAAGAATTAAAAGGTAAAAGATACGTTTGAGAATAAGTTTTAAAATGAAACAAACGATTAAAATTTCAAAAATCATTCAAAATTTAGAATTTTTTCCTTTTCTCAATCTTTGAACTGATTTATCGATAATAACATGATTTTTGGGAACCGTGCAAACAATTTTGGAAAAACTAGATTATTGTGGCATGTACGTTTTTCTAATTTGAACCCACGTAATTCGTTTCCCAAAATTATCCCATCACAATTTAAATTTCAAGTTATTCCCCTTTTTTCATTATTAAAAAGAATTAAATGAAAATCTTGTAATTAATCCCTTTCATGCGACAAGCTTTGCGCGTCAAATTTATATGTAAATATATTGCAGAAACCAGAAAAATACCCAAGTTATTTGGATTTTACGCGTGTCGCATTGTTTTCTCTAAATAATGGCATCACATTTATTGATACCACTATCAAAATGATAGAATTAAACTTGCCACGACGCTGCTTTGAAACAAGAGAAGCATAAAATAAATAAATATTTTTCTTTCGAATTTATCCGTAATATTTCAATATTCAATTCTCTGCAATTTTGATCTTCCTTTATTTATAAAAGGAATTTGCTCGCTATTTGCTTGCTGAAAAAATCATGCCAGGATTAATAATACAATAAAATACATAAAACGTAGAATCGTAATTAATAAATAAAAACTTTAAGAAATTAGATGCACATTTTTTTTTTTAAATTATTACGTGATTTATTTATAGATCAAAATTACATTTGTTCTCTTTGTACGCGTAACAATAATTAAAGCAAAAGATATGTAACTTTCAAATTTCGCGCAAAATCCACAATTTCACGAATAAAACTACTCTTACTTAGTAAAAAAAACTCGCCGTTTTGCAAACGCGAAAGCACGAAAACCCGGCCAGACTGTACAATATTCGAAAGAAAAACAAGAAGGGAAAAGGGAAGAGCGTAAAAATTCGAAACACAGTGTCGAAAGAGCCATCATCGGTCGAGCGTTGTAAAAGTGTGAGCCAGCTAAAAATTTCGAACCTTTTTCGAAATAATAGCGGCCTGTTATCTTTTTTTCCACCCGAAATGAAAACGGTGTGTTTCCGTTTTTACAGGGGCGACCGGGGGAGAAAGGGCAGAAAGGAGAGCTTGGCAGCCCGGGCTTCGACGTCTTTTCCGCAGTAAAGGTATCTAGCTAACGTTATCTAGAGGAGGAGACGGGGTGCAGTTAAGTGAAGTTTGGTCAACGATGTGCAGCAATGTGAAACGAAAGTATTCGAACGTCGGTGGTGGGAAATTGCTCGTCACTTGTCGAAACAAATTGCACTTGCGATATGGCACAGCAGTAGTATAAACTGTAAAATTTTGAATTTTTGGAAAGAAATTATATATGTAAAATTAAATATTTACAATCAATGGAAATTTTCGGATCAACTAAAAAATTGTGTTGCTTTCCGATAAAAAAAAAAATAAAGAAGACTATGAATTTGGAAGAGAAGAATTGTTTTACGTGCAATTTGTTTCGATGAATCGTGTTTCACGTATACGCTTATTACACGATGAATCGATTTCTACCGTATTCGTACGATTCGAACACTTTAGTTCTACTAACTGTACTCGTGTGCAACACGCGAAAGTATATCGTTTCTCTTTCGATCTGTACGTTTGCCATCCCTTCAGAAACCAATCTCGTCGAATTCTGTACATCAGCAACAGAGTGGATGGATGAGAGAAAAATAATAGAGACGTGAAAGGAAAACGTGGAGCGAAATGGCACGAAGGATAAACGATGTATTTTCCTTGAGAGAGAATGTATTTTTATTTACACACTTCGTGAGATATATAAACGTACTAAAAAGAAACGTGTTCCAATTGGAAAATATTAATTTTTCTTTTTCATATTTTCATATCATTTGTTGCCTAATCATTTTTTAACTATTAATTTTTAGTAAAATTCTAATTGGTGTGTTACTATTATTCCATAGAATAAGAATGTCGAGTGAAGTCCAATTCTTTTATTCCAACATTTTTAAAAATTAATTTTTTTAACAATTAATAACTTTATAAAATCGGTATTTATAATTTTCTTTCTCATTTTCTTAAAAGAAAGATAAAATTTCTTGGTTAAACATTGAAAAAAGTTAATGTGAAAATACTTTTTTCCTTTTTTTTTTTTACGATACAATTTCGCAATTAATTCCCAAAATCGTTAAGACGAATCGAATAATATCATCGAACATTTTCTGATTGGAACAACGTTCAACACGTGTTACGTGTAATCAAAATAATTTCCGGCAGCAATTTTTGTAGAAACTCATGGACAGTGAATCTCGATGTTTCTCGTTAGCTCGACGATTCGAGGACAACGGCTTCGTTCTTAACTATAATTAGCATTTGGTAATGTTTAACGGACATGTAATACAGCCTGCCACTGATGAAACAGGCACGGCATGAATTACGATGAGCAGTTGCGCCTAAACGCGAATATTTATACACGCGTACGTGTATTCGTGAGATCGAAGCTTGGTTCTCGATTCAATAGTGGCGAACACCACTCGATATATCGATTTCTCGCTGATAATTTCGCCACGTTGCGATCGAGAGTCCGTGCAACGCCTTTTTATCGGGTATTTTTAACGAATGATTGAAAAATTACCGGTTGAAGGATACAAGTAATGGTATTGGAGACGAAAATATATGTTTGTTTTTTACAGAAATTGAATTTTTTCGATAAATTTTAAATTAATAAGTCTATGCACAATAAAGATATCTTTGTTGATAAAAAGTTTGAAAAAGTTATAATAACTCTTACGATCTTAAAATACGATCGAGAACACTGTAAAAATTGGATAACTGTGCACAGAATGATCTATACTATTCGTTCTCATTTTTAATTTACTTTAATTCGCAATCTTTTCCTATTTCTTCGACATGCAATGCAAAAGAAATATTATTGTTACACTTTTTTAACATAATTTTACTTAAAAGTTTTAAAACGTTCAATTTAAGTTAAGAATTCTTTTGAAAACGAGATATTAAAATTTAATTTATCAATAAAAAAGAATTTTACACGCCAGTCAAGATACTTCATGATTGTAATTGCCCCATGAAACTTTCTAGCAGTTATCCAAACTTTACTTGAACTTTACGTAGATACACAATCGACCATCGACCTCAAAAATCAACGCCCTCTAGCTCCAAAAGATCATCTTCCATTTATCAAAAACTGGACTCTCGATGGCTGCCTGGGCCACCACAACACACCTTGTTATTATTATTTTTCTCACAACGACAACAACGCATCGATCTTCGATGATACAGATTAACAATATAAACCATGTTTCCGCCTACGGGTCAATGCACAGGGATTAGGGTTAAAGAGGTCGGTGACGACGCTCCGCGGCGGGACGCTTGGCTATGCGGAAATCGTCGCTCTGAAGGTAACCGGCCTCTTCGGAAGGCGACACGGCCTCGTGTTGCTGTTCACAAATCTCTTCTCGTCGTCGCTACTCCTGCTTCTCGTACCCTTATCTTTCTTCTCGCCGCTACTTCTCCCCCTCTCCCTACCACAATCTGTCTGTCTCTCTTTCTGTGTGCGCCTGTGTATAACCACCATCTGCTCGCCCACCTCCCTCTCCCTCGTCCTCGACTCCCAACGACTCAATCGTCCATACGTGTCCACGAATACACCAGCCACGATCACGTCTCCAATCTATCTAACTCCTGTCCTCGCTCCTAGACGCAATCCTATTTCTAGTCGTTGCCTCGTGCGGTGCTTTCGGTGTAGCGTACACTCAAGTTGGTCTCAAGTGCGACGGCGACCATTCTATTTGGAAGGAAACCGGCGGTTTCTCTTTCCAAAGACCAAAGATTGACGCGTATGGAAAATGTTGGAGATGACGTCGAGATGACGTTTTTTTTTTTTTCTTTTTTTCTGCTTTCAGATTCGGTAGGTGGATGGAGATTTTTTTTAACGCTACTTTTTGAGGTTTTAAGGCGATTTTTAAAGAATTATTTTTTTTTTATCGATTAAATTAAATTCTGCACAATTTATTATTGTGCTGTTGTTAAGTAAGATTTAAAGAAGGAGGAAATTTTACTGTTTTACGGCACTGTTATCTACTTACTTTGATTTCGTTTCGATATAAAATACACTGATTCGATCGAATAATTCTTTGCAATTGAAACTTATCGAAAAAATTATAACATTTCTCTTTTGCCTCGCTCACTTTCTTCCACCTGGAACTGTCGTCGCCGCCGCATTTTGTCGTATTTGGTTTTTTGGTTGGTAATGGTATTTACTTTAAGTTACAGTATTTAGGTATATCTCTGGGCATGCCTTGGATACGGAAGAGCAATGAGAAACGAGATATACATATATCCCAAGAAAAGATCCATTTTAGGTTCTTCTTCTCCCCCCCACCCGCCCACCCTACCCCCCACCCTACCTTTCCACTATGTTTTCGTCTGCGTAGCGATTTGGTTTTTACCCGTAGTGTTGACCTACTTCTAGGGACTTCAGGAGCAAGGGCATAATATCTCAGCGCAGACCATCATACAACTGAAAGTAAGTGCGCCTGCTCTTTCGGAGCCCCTCCCCCCCCCCTCTCCTTATCCTTTTCTTGTCATCGATTCTCCAGACATTCGATTTCGCATTTTTCACGCGGAAAATAGCCGCAGAAAATACCATAAATTTTACTCTACAAATACATCGAATCGAATATATTCAATCATACTTTTATCATGCGTATATTGTGTATTATTGTATATTTAGAAAAAGAGAAAAACAAACAGGCAAATAAAATTGTAGGGAGAATTTAAAATTTAGTAAAAGAGAGTTTACAAAGTTTTCTGT